ACCAGACCGATCAGGCGAGCTACCCTCCAGCACGTTCCCGTACACTTTCGAGTGGGGAAAGTGGCACGCTACCACAGCTGCGGACCCATTCACCTCGCTCATAGCATAACAAGGATTAGGACCCACGGGTGTGATTGTATAGTTTAATTTCCAATCTCTCCTCTCATAAGAGAGACTGAGAGGACTTGTATGAAAACCTCTCTGGGTCATATTGGGGGACCATTTTCCGTGACGTTTTGCTCGACACTGTACTGAACGACTGTCTTGTTGAACCAGTTAGATCGTTGTGCGCATGGTTCGCGCATGGCGCTGCTCACAGCGTCATTCTTGCCACACCACTTCCGGTTCTGGTGCAAGCTGACTGAGTGTTCCCTATCCATGAATATGTATTTTCAATTTCCAACTGAGTATTCATTTCATGGCGAGGAATCTTTTAGATACGAGCGTTGGAGACCAAATTGCAACTAGCAAATCAATCGTTCAGAAATAGTGAAGCTGAACGGCAGAAATGTGAACAAATCAACAGGTACGTTGAATTCAAAAGAAGTTTCTCTTCGTTCCTCATTTTCAAACGCGCGCGCGTTTTGCAATGTGTACTGGATTACAATGGGGGGACGTGGTGCTGCAAATAGAGTTGGTATTTCCGACTTGTACGGTCTTCGGATCCATTCCCCATATGGCTACCTTCCACCGCTCCAAAGTGATTTTCAAATGTCCAGGTAGTGGGGAGGGTGGGGCAGTTGGCGGGAAGCTAGACAGATTCCCTTTCTGCTCGCTTGCGCCCTCCCAACGAGATAGTGTCCTCTGAGTGACATTTCATTCGCTGGTTGAATTTTTCCATAATCCCGCAAAGAGGGGTGGGGCGGGGGGATTCCTAGAAGGATTAATCTATTTTTATGATTAAGAAGTTGTGATAGGTTTGATTGGTCATAGAACGCTGGGCAGAGAAGAAGACGAAGTAAATTGGTGTGATCAAAACGAGCAGTAATCAAGCGGTTCGTAGGCCATTCAGAGCATTCTGTAAACCAAGCACCTCAAAAGTATCACACTTTTCTGACATTGCCCAAAAGGTTCACTCTTTTTTATTGATTGCCATTGGGGGTAGACGCGCCGCAACCGCACGCACGTTAGCAGTAGTCGCTTTTTTTTGGTGGAGATTAACTACGACTACTGACTGTCCCTTTAGGGATACTATGAAATATGTAATGCAACTTGAAGGCGAAAATGGTCGTCTGAAAGGAATTAATGAAGAACTGTCGTGAGTCACCATTGACTACATTTCGCATTGATTTATGGATTTTTGAATTTGCTTCTCATATCTTTGCTATAGGGCAAAGCTCCGAGATTCGGCTTGTGCTCAAGTACTTGAAGAGAAAGACGCTCGAATTCGTGATCTTGCCGATGAGCGTAGCCGTCTGCAGTGGAGGATTGGCGAACTGAGCCAGTGGTGGAGTGACGCAAAATGGAAGTGGGACTTCAGGCTCTCATACATTCTTCTATATCATTGATTGGATCCATTCGTTTACTCTCCGTATCCCTCAGACGCGGTAGGCGTGGCTGCGTACTCCATTTAAACAGAGCTTAGGATGAGCTACTCGTGGAATATTTCAATTTGAGACAACCGCCATCTTTTTTTGTATCAGGCGAAGAGTAGTTACATTTATCTCAAATAAAAATATCCCACTAAAAGCGCAGCCATTCAAATAGAATACGTGACCACGCCTACCCCATTTCGGGGATATGGAGTTTACACGGCTGCGTAGCAACAGGTCACCATGCGACGAGGAGCACATTCGTGGGTGCACCGTCCGTAACATTTGAGTCGAGCTGTTCGATGAACTTAAGAGCAGCTAGAGCCGCAGAACGGTGTCCGGTTGGAGGTGGAAAAGAGTGAAAAGGGGGACGCTTGAAAGTGTCGCGAACACTGGACGTCAAAATGTGCACGGCGCTGTGTCGTGACCTGTAGCTACACTTTCGTGCACTTTTAGCTTGGCTTAATGGCTTCCTGAAATATCGATTGACAGCTCAGATGTGGTGTTAGTCAACGCTTTCCGCGCTGAATGCATCAATCGATATAGAACCTCGTTTTTCACTCTGTCCTATCCTATGAGCGCTTCCCTGGATTTTCGATTTTATTTCTGCATTACCCTGTGTCCACGGTTGCGCTTCTGCCCTTCTACATGTGCACACGATATCGTTGCAATCAGTCGGGGCGGTGTTGGGCGGCGTGAAATGAACACAACATTTTTATCACTGGTTGTTTTCCTCCTGAATCGATTACGATCGCAATTGGTAGATAGCGCTGCTTGGGGCAGGCTCATCCCACCCCTCTCGACACCGCCCCCACTGATTGCGACGATATCGACTATACCTTTGTTTTCTGGGCTATCCTATGCTAATGACTATCCTACGAACATGGTTTCTGGGTTGTTTATGTCCTCTGGTGATACCTCGTGTTGAGATGCCGAGTTTCTGCTTCTTTCCTTTCAACTCAGATGCCCTGAAATTCTTTGGAGAAGTTCCCGCAGATTAACTTCATGGGATTGTTCGGCACTTAGAAGTAAAGAAACCCTGCTTTGAAAAAGTCTATGCCTCACCAATGCCCCTTTCCCAAATGGGCATAATGTAAAGCTTATGGTATCGCTGCACCTTGCGGGTCTGGCCAGCGTATGAATTGACAAGTTTGCTCAAGTTAGGTCCCACCCATTGATTTTTTGCACATTTCTTTTGAAAGAAAAAAATGTGCGATTTTTGTCGAGAAAACAGCTTTACGCCTCCAATACAGGTAGAAAAAAGGTCCTTCCCCCAGTTTCAAGTAATATTCTCAGGATCGGCGAACTAGAAGCCGGCGTGGCTCACCAGCGGCAAATGCTTGATACGGCAAACGGGAAAATTCAGAATTTGAACGATCAGTGAGTTATTTCCGCTAGGTACCAGATTTTTTACCCTTGATATCTTATTAATTGTGAAAAAAGTACAGGATTCTTACTTTTTAGACTTGCAACTGCGTTAAGGTGAGAATTGCGATATGTTTGAAGTGAAATAACTGAATTGAGCGAGTGCGTGTAATTCGATGTGTTCTGGACTATTTAATATTATTTGGATAATAATACTTCATGAGGGTTGCGGTGTAAGTAATCGTCTGGACAAAATTAACTGATTACGGACCTAAAACTACCGTGCTCTAAATATTACAGTGGATTGTTCCTTTTAGACCATACACTTTCGGCCATTGATTGACCCCACCTAACAAAAAGTTGGCGACATACTACTTCTGTAGTTATTGGTGTTCACTGCATGCTTTATATAAGGCTTGTGTAAATAAGTCACGCGCTGCTAGCTACGAAAAAGACCCTCAATGCATAGATGTCCTCTTGATGAAGGGTGCATCCTCATATACCAGGGACGGGGAGGGCGTGTCCATGTAAATTGCTGTGAACGCACAAGCGGCTATCAGTCTGTGATCCTACTATCGGTTAGAACAGAAAGGTCGGAGCAGTACAGAGATCCTGTTGCGTCTCTGACGCACACACTGCTTGCGTCACATGCGCACGCCATGATTGGTGGATGCCCTACGTCCACCTATCAGAAGCGTCTCTTCACGAGATAAGGCGGGTAACTGGTCGTCGGAATTGAACTTTTGAGAGAGGCTCACTTCGACTTTTTCGCAGTAAGACCACTTTACCAAGCCTCAGAATAGTGCTGGACAACTTATAAAAAGATGACTGCTTCTTTCAAGGGATCCACTTTTCACTGTCATAATTCATAAGGGGAACTGCTTTGCAATTCCTTTCGCATTCTGTGTTACTTTCTCCACAAAGATTCATTAAGAAGCTCCTCTGTTGTTTTTTTTTCGGAACTTGCATCCCCTCTTGGAGAGTTTTATAATGGTCATAGATTATGTTGTACCGTATACCTGGAATGGTAGTAATGTAAGTAAATAGGTGTGTTCTAATTTCAGGTCACCGCAGACCTCCACCACCACGTACGTTGTACCACCATCATCATTTAGTGTCAGTCAAGCGGCTCCTGGGCAGTGGCAACTAGCCAACACTTGTAAAAAAAATGTGCCCGATCGATCCACTGTTTTTTTGACTCTTCGACAATTCCATGAGCTATCTGTGCCTTTTTTACCATGGAAAATATGTTCGGGTGACCATGAAGGGAATGGGGGCTTAGGATAGGCTGCTCATCGATGGGACACGTCGGCGCTCCACCCATGCCAGTGCACTACGGACAACTAACTGTACACTTACTTCGTGTATTGTGGTTTTGGCAGGCGCAGGTTAATACGGATCCGCAACTGCGAAAGTCCACTTTCTGCCGCCTCCAAAAATGCAGAGGTCACGGGAACCAGGTTGGCGAGTAATGATACTCAGCTGCCGTCTTTCGACTCCGCCCTCGCTATCCTTGAAGGCGAAGCCCGCGATCACCCAATATCACGGATAGTGGATTAGGGGTTTGCATATAGACGACGAAATACTGAGTAACTCGGTATAAAGAAAAAAGCAGAAAAAAACATGCCACCTGCCCTAGATGAAACCCCATCTCGACTTCAGTTTGTACGTGCCCAGTTAACTCCATCTCCAGCACTACGCCCGTCCATCCGAACCGCGGTAAAAATTCTACGACCGTAGCAAGACGATTTTCATGCTTTTGCTTCGCTTTTCCTTGAAAGGCGGGCCTTGAAGGCGGAGTCACTGAGTCACTGTGAAAGGAGGCGTCACTGAGCCTATATTGCGCTATAGCGCCCCTCCCTTACAATTTTTTGCCGCGAAACCGGTACAAGGTTGTTCGTCGCGGACCACACTACCCTCCCGACGCCATATTTTCAACTTCTATACCTGATCGCGGACCGTGCTTTTAAAGTGCAGCAATTGCGCAGTAACCGAAGTCCTGCAGCGATACACGTACTAAGCAGCAGAGAACAACCAGAAGCGAGAGGTCAGGCAAGTAGCGCGTTTGGCTATGGTTAGGCGCGTGGCTGGCTCTTCGGCGGCAATCGCGGAGTCCCAGATGACACACGGGTATCACTACCCTAATACCCCGTCCCCGTGCACTTTTGGGCGGAGAGAGTGAGACACTACTGCAGCTGCGTCCCAATCAGCTTGCAATGCCGGTGACGCCGCTGGCGATGCTGCTTTCATCGTGTCGCTGCAGTGTGGATCTCTCGACCGATGTCACCCACAGACCCTCTGTGTACTTGCATTATTGGTGACGATTCAATAGCTTTCAACCTGCACCAAATCAGGGCTTGACGATAGGTTTGTGCGGCCACAAGATCAGCGCTACCTCTGCCTTCAATTCGCATAGTGCTCCTTTCTGCCACCACAATTTTTTCAACTTGAAATATTAATCTTGCTTGGTTGGAATTTTTGCATTGACAATTTGCCGGCGAGTTTAGCTATCGAATCAGTGTGCTTTTCAGCTTCGCACTACCACCAGCTCCTGCACCAACGCCCCTTTACAGCGCACCTATCTTTGGCGCATCCTTTTACAGCTCTCCAGTTTCTTATGAGACTAAGAGAATGAAGATTGAAATCGATATCGACACTCAACAAGATGTGTTTGTTATGGTGAGGATTCTTCATATTATTTAACTATGCGCCAACGGGATGTTAATTTGTTACAGGGCTCGTTCCTCAACTGGCAATGTGCGTTGAAATGTGATCCGATAGGTCCGGGAAGGCGAGGTATAACCTTGGATTTACCACGAGGAAGGTGAGCGATTGAATGGTAACGGTTTTGGAGAATATATTCTGACAGTTAACTGCTAGCAATCAGCTGGCAGTGTTTCTCGTAAATGTAGGCGAAATTACGAGTATATGGGACCTCTGAATCGGAAAATGTCGACAAACCTCTGCTAGCGAACACCACTCACTTTTCTACATGTTCCCAGTTATCTCTCAAATTTCCGAACATATGCTACTTTCTCCTTAATAGTTTACCGTCGAGCGGAGAAGGGGGGGGGGTATACAGCACCAGTGAAACGAGAAAAACCGCGAAAAGTCAACAACCGGGAAAAAAGGATAGGATCTTGCCGCGTTGGGTTTTTCCCAACGGCAAGTTTCTTTCGAAGGCAAATACGACCTCCCTCTCTCACAAAACGAAAATGCGACCCCCTCCCAGCGAGCCAGACCCCCCATGTGTTTCACACAACGATGCTGTACCCTGGGAGTAGGCAGACACCGCACTAGCATCTTGTTGTTAGATAATTACTGTTTAACGCCGCAGTGCGCGCACGGGAAGCGGAACTTGCGGGTTCGGATCCTGCCCGGTCCGACTTTTGCCCACAACTCAGCATTCTTTGTGTTAAATCTCCGAATCGCGCCTGCGAAACGTTAAGCAGCAAGTTTCTGAGTAAACTTGTAAAAAGCCTTCAGCCTTGCGGTTCACTGCCGATATCGGCTAACCGGCTCATCACGTTGAACGTGTGAGTGCTCGAAGGCAATGGCACAAATAGCCATTGAGCTGAGAGGGCAAGAGTGGCTCGGTAGCGTAATAGGGAACGCAACCGCACGGAAAGCGGAAGATGCGGGTTCGAATCCCGCCCGTGGTCCGACTTTTGCCCACAACTCAGCATTCTTGTGATAACTGCGATTAGCTTTGAGGTGGATTCTTCGCTTGGATGAAGTCCGCAGCTGTAGAAGAATAGCAAATCTGCTAGTAGAAAGTGCGCTCCAAGGCTACCGACGGTATGGACCGGCGCTGTTCGCTGGGGTTTTGTGAGAGGAAAACAAGAGGGTACCAGACCTTGTGATCAGGCAGCGCCTACTCTCCTGCTCCCCTATATTCTCTCAGAAGACTAGGTAATAGCGTCGATTAATACCCGTCTGTGGGATCTATAGCACTGCAGCGCTTTGCAAATGGCGACGATGCCCTACGATGCGCGCCATCGCGTAGTCGCACCACAGCTGCAGCTACACAAGTACAGTCGTCATCCGGGCACTTGATTAGGCGGCAAGGGTCGCGACGCGGCTGCGGCGTGTCACGAGCGCGGCGATCAGCTGTTTCCAGCCTATTTTAGCCATTTTCTCCCTAATTTACACTGTTTTGGCTGCTTTTCTCAAGATTAGTTGTTCCTTGTCTTCACAAGGTAAATTATGATTGAGATTCCTCTGATTTTTGCGTACAATTAAACAGTTAAGCAGACAATTGAACAAATACCTGAAAAAAATCGCAAAAACACTCTATTGCAAAAACAAAAAAGAGTCCACATCCTAACACACTTCATAAAGGCAATAAAACAACTACCTTGAAAAAAATAGAAAATACACTGAAAATTAGGGAGAAAATGGCCAAATAGGCCGGAAACAGCTGATCGCCGCGGTCGTGACGCGCTGCAGCCGCGTCGCGACCCTTGGCCGCCTAATCAAGTGCCCGGATGACGACTGTACGCTGTATGTCACTGGAAGAAAATTGTCTGCAAAGACCGGATCTATTTTTGTACGCTTTCAAGTCGGGCAATGTGCACGTATTTCAGGCACGAGTTCCGATTTTTGGCTGATGGCAAATGGCTGACGTCGTCATTGTACACGAAAGTGCCCAACGGGTTTGGTGGCGACAATAACCTGATGTGGGTAGAATAACAGAAAGAAAGAAATACGCCTTGCCATCTGACTTCATACATATGTCCTCTCCGATCGCTCTATCTCTTTCTCTCACTCTCCCTCTCCTAGTAGCTATCATTTCCATCTCTCTCTCCTCTTTATCACAATCTTCATCAACGATGACGATGATGACATGATTTTACGATGTTGACGATAACTTCTATGCTATCAAGACCAACACATAAATATTATTCTACGCATCATATTTGTATCTTTCTTCTACTAAACGATAAAACCCAATCATCCCTGTTGTCTGTTCCGTTATCATCTTTCCTATTACACTGTTTCTATTCTTTTATTTGGGTTATTAACACTGGTTACGTTGAGATTTTACTAGAGCGTTGTGTGTAGGATATGTGTAGGTCAATAAACATATAAATGTGATAGTTTCCGGTAATGATGAGCGTTTCTGATCAGAGATGGGATAGTGGCAAGAGGCGCCGCTAGCATAGCCTTGATCTGAGGATCGAACATAGTATCAAATTCAGCCCAGCAAACCAAATTTTCCATTCATCTGGGGTCACTTAAAGGTAAGTGGCACGGTAAATCCTCAAGATGTGTAGGATTGATACGCCTAGCAGGATAGATTCGGCGCCCTGAGCAGCGCTGCGTGGCGCCTTTTCCAAGGAAGGTACCCTTATAGCGCCCTATCAAGCTGCAACATACCGACCCGGACGCCCACTGCGCCCACCCCCCACAAATGCCCGACCGATGCTGATGCTTGTATCGCTCAATTTGCAAAGTACAATATGAAGCGAAGGGACTGATATGAAGCGGTTGCGGTGCTGCATGAATATACACTCCTTATCCCTGAGCCAGAGTAGGCGTGGCATTTGAACATGGCACGGAACTGGTTACTCGTGGAATATTCCAGTCTGGGACAACTGTCATCTTGTTCTGTGTTGGACAGAGACACGACAACAATTGTGTCAAGATGAAAATATCTCACCAGAAGCATAGACACCTTCAGGTTAAGTTGAAACATGCGGCCACGCCTACCCGATCTCAGGGATTCCGAGTATATGTGCACCATACATGCAGCCGAAGCAACCATGCTGATCATTGACGCGATGGTGACTGTGCAGATGCGAAAGAAGAACCCATAAATGCTTGTCCAAGCCCTTCAAAGCAAAGGGTACCGTTTCACCCTACCTTTTCACCAATTCCCCACTATACACCGCTCCAGCTACCATTCTGGATCGAGTACCAAATTATCGTGCCTTATGCCTTTGAACAGTGCCATTAACATAAGTGGAGAAGCTTTTGCTTGGAACCAAACTAAGCCGCGTCATGCGCGTCGTTCTTGGGATTCCCGGCAAATTTGCTCTGTGAAAAAGTGTTCCAACTAATTTTCCCGGCGGGAGGGTGTGAGAGCAGAAATTTCTGGGAAAAAATTCCTGAAAATTAATGAAGAAATTATGAAAAGATTAGGCAGAGTAGGTAGTGAGGAGGGGGGATGGGGAGCGTTGGGAGAGGGGGGGGGGGGGTCGCACCTGCGTAGAAAAGTCTGAAGGGTGTATTTTGAACGAAAGTTTTTCCCAACGGCAGGACGTGCCCTGGTACCAAACCCGAGCGTTAAAGATGCAGTCCACGTTGATCTAAGAGCGAAGTTAGACCTACCGCTTCATTTGCCGCCCCCTCACCGAATTAGAAAGGCGCGCAATTAAGGAAGGTGCAGGCCTGACTTTTCACAAGTGATCCGAGCGAACTGAATCTTTGAAAATGAAAGTTATAGGTAGATTGTTAGCTCCAGCAAACACGCTTCGCGACTGCACGCGGCAGCTGCCACTCTACTACACTGTTTTATTGCCCAGCAGTACACCTTGTGAGTTTCTATAGTTCAACTGTCTTCCAAGCGGAAAGTGATAGAACTGTTTTTTTTCTGGACACTGGGGACTTCCCGCGCCCCCTCTCCCCACTGTTGATCCGCCATGCGTTTGTCTTCCCATTCAATTCTTACAATTAGAAGGATTCGAATGCTCAACAAACTTTCGCTTTGAGATATGGGGACAGGCTTATTCTGACTTCGAAACGCTTCCCTTTTCTGACCACCTTTTTCGGACCAACTTTTTACTAACTAGTAGGACCCAAAAGGCGAAAAGATGGTTTGCTCTAATCAAAAGTAGATCTCAGGACCGCTTCTCTAGTATAATAGCAGCGCCACCTCCCACATCACAACATACTTCTACTCCCATGCTATTACCACTCCTCTGGAAGGATTTCTTGGGATATCTTCATGTGTTTTGGGCTATTTCCGGGTTTGTTATGCGTAGTGGTGGCAGGTGTGGTTATGTAATGCTTCGAAAACTGGTTATATAAGCCGAGCGCCGCTGCACCCTGTAAGAAACCGCCCTGTACCAAAGCCGAAGTGTCTGTTAATCGTCGTTCACTTTGTCATTTACTCGTGTAATGGATTCATTCCATTATGAATCGTGGATGATTTTGAATACTATTCTTTTCATATTTTCTACTGTTCCTTCAAACGAGTAGTAATACCAGTCCTACAACTGTACTAACAAAAGCAATATAAATAAGTGGCATCTAACGATGGGGATGTGTTCTGTCATACAAGCATAACAGAAGAGTTAGGCCTTAATTATGGAGTCACATGAAACGTTCATCAGTTAATGAATTATAACCAAGATGAATCTAAATCACTAAATGAAATAGCGTTCAAATTTTGAAGTAAATTTTGAAGTACCCAGCGCGAGTTCCCTCGGTGATAGCACTAGAATCATCGCACAAGTAGTTCGGTCAACAATCTTCCTCAACCCGACAGTGAGTTACGGGTGCTGCAGGCACCCGGAGGAACGTCTTCCAATGAAGTCGCCTCGCCTGTGTGGGGACGGGTTTTGCCAGTAGTGCTATACCTGTACACACAGAATGGACGCTTTGCGTTCATTCGGTGTTCGGCCGATCCTTCTTCCTATTGTTTTCCATCTTGAATTCCTATTTTCTCATTCTTTGCCTCTGGCCTCCAGCCGACGTAGCGATGTATCCTTTCTTGGAATACTCGTCCAGTCCTAGGGCCTTATCTGGAGGGACTTTGACGGTACTTGTTCGCTCTTCCATCACAAATGAGTCCATGAGCACCTACTAATTTGCATACAAACCCTAAAACCCACAAATCCGAATCGTGAAATGTATTTTCAATTTTTCCAGAATTCCTTTCTTTCATTGTTTTTTTTTCTCATACTTATTTGACTGGAGAATTCCGTACCTACTATAGGCATAACAGGAATTAGCTCTAATATTCTATTATCCCACTGCCTTTCTATGTTTGTTCTGTGCTGTCTGGGTTCTTTTGTGTTGTGTTTTGTTTTTTTCTGTTTGGGTGTTTTGTAATTTTTTTTCTTTTTAGTTTCTGTCTTTTTATGTTTTGACCTGATTTTATAGTATTAGGAAATGTAGCGCACCTAGGAGTGCACATAATAAATTTGAAAGAATGAATCATTCAAAGCTTGTATTGTTGGAAAGCAGTGGGCACGATTGCAGGAGGCGGGCATTAGTTGCTAGCGTCATTGGTGGAAGTACTGCGAGAGGGCGTTCGGCTACGCCACCACTCTGCTTTACCATGGATGACGTTGACGGCACGCCCACTGCCTTTAAGTTCAATGCTGACCAATGGTGCTCCATACATTGAAAAAATAAACGACTGAACAATAAGTACGAGGGGTATGCTCCCTTCAAGGAATACTCAGCATTTTCCACGACAGCTACATTCGCTGAGCGTTCTTCGGGTGCTTTCTGATTTCTCTGTTCGATTCTCCATTTTAAACTTGACCCTCTTTCCCACAGTCTCGCTATGCCCAATTATCCGAAGCGGAACCATTATTTCCATCGGATAGATGCACTTCACAAAGTTCAATGGTCACGCTTTGGTCGCGATTGGTTTTATATGTCAGTTGCTGGAGAATTAGCTGCGGCTTTCATTCCTTCTACAGCGAATCCGCGCCGGTTCAGGCGCTAGGTGTACAACAGGAAAAAGGTAAGGTAATGCACCTCGCTGTTACCCGCCCCTTCAGGGTTCCGCGTATCCGATTCCGTTTCGAATCGTTTATAGTAGAGAAAGATAGGAAATTTTGAGGGTTTTCAGGTAACTGATTTGTTTTGGATGCGGTCCGTGATCCCACCTCCACTGAGAAACGTAAGTGACTTTTCAAATGCTATTTGGTTTATACACTGGCTTGCAATGCGAGGCGATGAGCCAGTCAGTATTTCTGTGCTTCTTCGTTAGTCTGGTGGCAGTCTAACGACAGGATAGAACCTCGGTCGGAAGGGACTAGAGCCGATCCGAAATCTGACCCTTGAACCGAACTTCTCATAAGCCTACTACTTGAAGCCAAAGTGTACATTCGATTGCGAGAAAGGTCTTTGCCATGTGCGCGGCGAAGGAGTCAGCAGCTGCAGCAGCGGGCCACCTTCTCCGCTGGAACATGCGCGGGAACGGGGTTGGAAGGCAGGGGTAGCAGTATGGGGGGAGGGAGGGGGTGCCATCTACACTGCGCCCGCGCTACGTCCAACCTGCAGTACTTGCTGCGATCCGAAACCCTGTAGCAAACACGCACTTGTTGGTAGAGAACAACCAGAAAAGAGAGGACGAAGAGGGCCATGGCTAAGGGTAGGAGTGGCTGTGCGGCAGTGCTCCCAGAGTCGGGAGACGGCACTCGGGTATTACTATCTTCCAGCCCAGTTCTCGAACTTTACCCGGACTCCTGTAATTTTGAGTATATAAAAAGGAACACTGCTGCGGCCGTGGATCCGTTCTTCTGGTTGTGGTAAGGACTTAAGAGGGTGAACGAGAGCAGATGAACGAGTCCGCAGTGGAACATTTCGTCTTCAAAGTGGCTTATATCCCCCCAAAAAGATGAGCAATCAAACAGAAAAGAAGAATATTAGTGATTCACTTTTGCTCTCCTTCCTGGTAACGTCAGCAGTCCTCCTGTCGTCCACATTTCGGATAGGACGAACCCAATTCC